ACACACACACAGAGAAAGCCATCTCTCAGACAGCATGCGATCACAAATTTAGTTATCTTTTGTGTTTAAACGGTTAAATACAAACAAAATGTCGTCAAAATGCCCGTCTTTGTCAGTATTCACATAAACATGGTTGGTTATGTCAAATTTGATGTGTATCAGTATATTACATCTGTGCATTACATCTTAAAGGGACAGCAGCCTGATTTACCTGCTGCTGTCTGTGTTGTTAATGCTAATCAAGCAACAAATATAAAAGAGAGAATGACTCACTGCTCTTGACTGAATAGCTCCTGTAGCTTTAACAAGAATCATGTATTTAATTCATACAGTGAATATTATGTAGTGTTTAATTAATTTGTGCATCATTTATTACTTAAAGTGATAGTTCACTTGAAAATCTATCTTCCAAACCTCTATCAGTTTCTTTCTTCTGCTGAGGGAAAACATTTCCCTCTTATAGGTGACTCTTGTGAGAGGGTTTTTATTTTTTTATTTGAGGGGTGGAGGGGAGCATTTTTTAGGGATTTTTCAAAAATATATATTTATCTCACCTAACTGCTCGCTCATGCAGTGCATTTTTGTTTTTACACTCGTGCAATTGTTGCACAATAGCTTACACACAGCACAACACAGTTGCTCAAGCAAGTGGCAAAATTTAAACTACTTTTCTTACATTATCACAAACATTCTAAATTAAAACTTACCACTGACAGAAACAGTCAGCTCTACTGCCTTTTCTTTTGCATTTAAATCTTTATTACAAGCAATCCTGCATTAGATCCGTTAATCCTGCATTAAAGTTCATAAAGAACTTTGTTTTACTACCTCCACGAGTGCCATCTTTTATTGCCTTTTTATCTAAAAGTGCTCTTTTCCTTTAAAACTAGCCAACAAGCCATATGTGTTGACTGTGAAACACAGTAGACTACATTTAATTAGTAATTACTACATTTTTGTTTTCATATTTACCAAAACAATGCGCTGTCACTTTAATTCAGCGCGTGCAGCAAACTCGGTGGAAACAATCGCTGCACTGCTACAGACTGCTCATGGAACGCACTCCCGGACCGCAACCGTGTGCAGTGTGAAAGCTCTAATCCGTTAACATGAGCGTGAAAAAATACGCACTGCAAACGGAGTATATGTGAACCTGGCATTATGTGTGTGCGCTGCGAGTGTGCATGAGCGCACGGTCTCCAGGAGAGCGCGCGAGCGCTGAATGGTTAAACACTGGCAAGAATTAAAAAGAAATGCAATTCATAAACTTTAGTGACGATGCAACACTGCCTCGATTGTTCAAGTTATAATTCCTATGTCAACTGTGCAGCGTGCAGCTGGCTTATAGTGCAGACGCGATGTGATTTGAAGCCATTTGCGCATTTTGAAAGGGAGAGCGTGCGCAGTCATTCACTCGCGTTGTTTGTGAAATTATGTCTTACAGAAAGTTTTCAAATTACTTTAGAAGTTAATTAATGAAGAAATATGAATTGTACCTCACCTTCAGCATTATAATTATTTCACCCGTGCCGGACAGAGAGCCGCTGCATGTCACGTCGTCAGGTTTTTTGAGATCTGCCTTTTTAGAGGCGGCCGATCAAACATCCCAAAGTGATTATCGGCCGATAGTGATCGGTAGCCGGTCACTCGGAGCACCCCTACAAACGGTTGACGGTAGCCATTTACTTCCATAGTATGGGAAAAAATTAAGGATGTGCGGGTCTAGTCGACTAGTCGACTAAACGGTACAGCTCCTACTAGTCGACACTGAAAACAATACTCGATTACACGACAGAAAAAAAAAAGAAAAACAAAAACAGGATTTTATCATTCACATTACCATCATTTTAACATTGCATTTAAAACATTCATAGATTAAGTATTTAAAATATAGGCTATTATATATGCTACATGCACACACAGAGGTTTTTTTCTTTTTTGGGGGTTTCTTGCTTTTAGACTTTTAGACAAAAACGTTTGTTTAAACGACAGTCAAATTAGTTGTTGCGCACATCCCTAGAAAAAATACCATGGAAGTCAGTGGCTACCAGCAACTATTTGGCTCTGAATATTTTCCAAAATGTCTTCTTTTGTGTTCAACAGAAATTTGGAACAAGTGGATGATGAGTAAATCATGGCAGAATTTTCATTTTTGTGTGAACTATCCCTTTAAATGCTACTGTTAAATAGACCTGAAAAACTCATATTAACTTATATATTCATAAACTCATATAAGGTCTTGCTTACTGAGTGGCAACACCTTAGCATCCGACTTGGCATGCACCTAGCAAGGCCTACATCCTTCAAACCTCAAACAGCGATGCACTTGCAAAAGCATTGAAAGGTGCGTGTTTGTGTTTTCAGCCTCAGGTTCGGAGAGCGAGTCGTCTCCGGAGAAGCGTGTTCGTGTGGGAGAGGCCTCATGTTCTGAAGATTCTCCACGAGTTCCCAAGCAGAAGAACCGTCGGCGATGCCATCGCTGCCAAACCAAACTGGAGCTCGTACAACAGGAGCTGGGGTCCTGTCGCTGTGGTTAGTATGGCCGTCATCTTACGGAGTGTCGTCTGCGAGATGATGTGACAAAGCTGTAATGCTTCCCGATTCGCATGCGTGAAGTCTGGACAGCTTTGTTGATGACAACGAAAGTTTTCTAGTTTTGTCCCATCACATCACTAGTTCTGAGACATGCAGAATGATGTAAATGATGGGCTTTCCGATTCTGCCGATTCCATGCGGGCTTATTCATTCCTCACCTGACTGTTTGCAATTTCAACGAGAACTTTTAGATCCCTACAGAACTAAAGGAGTATATTTAACCCCCCTCGGTCATTAAAATTTTAGACACTAACTGTAGGTAATGAAATAAAGGGAGCATTTAAACATAATTGCGCAGTTAACATCAGTCCTCCTGGCTGTGCTAGTTATTTTTTGTCTTGTTTTGTTAAACTGGAGGTGGTATTGTAAGTCATCAGTCTAATGACAATTCCCACTGCTCTGCTAATACGCTTATGGATCTGACTGTTCCCGTGACAGCTCGCATCTGAGTCATTATCCCGCCGGGATTTATCCCAGACAGGACTCCTGCCGATATTTGACGCCGAAAACTCTGCCGCATTTTCCTCCTAGGGTTAGGATGCTGTTTGGATGTACAGTAACGTATAATAACCTGCGGTCTAGTGAGTGAGTAATCTTGAGTAGATTTAAAGGAATTGTTTAGCCAAAAAATTCTAATTAGCTAAAAATATACTCACCGTCAGGCCATCCAAGATGTAGGCGAGTATGTTTCATCATTAGAACATTTATCATTACATCACTTGTTCACCAATAGATCCTCTACAGTGAATGGGTGCCGTCAGAATGAGAGTCCAAACAGCTGATTAAAAACATCACAATAATCCACACCACTCCAGTCCATCAGATAACATCTTGTAAAGGGAAAAGCTGCATGTTTGTAAGAAACAAATCCAACATTAAGGCGTTTTTACTTTAACCCATTGCTTCTGGCTAAAATACAAGCCCATAAACCATAATAATTTCTTCAGTGAAAAAGTCCACATGAAAATCCACCGGCATGTTTGTTCAGAACACTTTTGGACTGTTTTCACAAATTTTTAAATAGTGCTTGAACTGTGCATATTTCTCTCCTAATTCAGAAAGCAATATTATGGATAGAGAACAGAAGCAACGGTTTTAAGTTTTCGCTTCACAAGATTTTAATTGATGGACTTGAGTGGTGTGGATTATTGTGATGGTTTTATCAGCTGTTTGGCCCCTCATTCTGACGGTACCCATTCACTGCAGAGGATCCATTTGTGAGCAAGTGATGGAAGGCTAAATTTCTCCAAATCTGTTCCCATGAAGAAACAAACTCATCTACATCTTGGATGGCCTGAGGGCGAGTCATTTTTCAGCTAGTTTTCGTTTTTGGCTGAAGTACTCCTTCAAGTGTTTGACTGATTTTGACCTCTGCTAAACGATTCAACTAATTCATTAATATGAACTGCCTCATTTGAGCGAATCTTTCATGAATCGGGTAGCGCATTATGCTTTGTTCATGGTTGCATGCAGTCAGTGAGAACACCACCACATTATGTTTTTCTTTCTCATCAGACAATTCAAAAGCTGCAAACTCATCTACAATATATGCAAATTTTTTTTACCGTGTGGCTGCAGCTTCTGCAACGTCGCTCTTGAATAGCACTACATGATGCACTGGTGTGTGCAGTGCCCTGCAGCTTTTCTGTGGCTGCTGTAATTGAAACATTGTAAGCTTTTAATCATCTCTGACTCATTAAAAACACCATGTGTATTAATGAATATATTAAACTGCTTAACGAGACTCTCCTCTTAATGAGGCTCTTAAAGGGGTCCTATTATGCTTTTTCACTTTTTCAACTTTAGTTAGTCTGTAATGTTGCTGTTTGAGCATAAAAAAGATATGCGAAGTTACACTAGAGAAGGCAACGAGTGTTATCACTATGTCGGAGACACGCTAGCTTTCTCAAGGCAGACAAACTTAAAGTGGTTACAATCATCCGGGTTTAAATCGTGATCAAATTGATTTGATTTTGACGCAATATTTACACTGAAGATATTTGGCATTTTTTAAATATCGGCATCGGCCGATAAGTTTTCCTGTTTGGCCGATGCGTTCAAGGCAGGACTTTTATTTTGACTGCGCGACAGACTTTTATTTTGACGGCGCTGAGAACGGCAGCGCCTGAGCACACGATCTTGTGAAGTGTGTATGTGTATCCTGCATGATCGCGTGCGTTCTCTGCGTGACGGTCGGTCCGTGTGAATTGAATACGGACAGGTGGAAATTTAACCGGTTTTCGATACCCAACCCTAATCGTGATTAATCGCATCCAAAATAAAAGTTTTTGTTTACATAATATATGTGTGTGTATTGTGTATATTTATGTATGTATGTATATAAATAAACACACATACAGCATATATTTTGTAAATATTTACATGTATTTAAATGTATATATTTATATTCATATAATTTATATCATATATAAATATATTTAATATATAAACGTAACATATATTTCTTAAATATATACATGTATGTATGTGTATTTATATACAGTGGTGTGAAAAAGTGTTGCCTGATTTCTTATTTTTTTTGCATGTTTGTCACACTTTAATGTTTCAGATCATCAAACTAATTTAAATATTAGTCAAAGATAACACAAGTGAACACAACTTGCAGTTTTTAAATAAAGGTTTTTATTATTAAGGGAAAACAAAATCCAAAACTACATGGCCCTGTGTGAAGAAGTGTTTGCCCCCTAAACCTAATAACTGGTTGGGCCACCCTTAGCAGCAACAACTGCAATCAAGCGTTTTCAACCAAAGTGAAGTAGACTTTGAGGTGGGCTCTTTTTACTTGTTCCAACAACTCTACCATCACGCCAGTGTTGCACTGCATGGGCAAGCACCACTCAAATCAATTTCTTTTTACTTCGAAATGATCTGAGATCATTATAATCTCTGTGCCAGCTCTCTGGCATTCATTTAAAAAAGCCGACACTTCAGCAGGGTTAACAGTGACGTAATAAGTGACTTTTCAGAGCCATTCCCGATGTCTCAAAGAGTCGGCGCGTGTGGGGAACAAGACGTGCTCTCAAGCATGCTGTTAAACTGAGTGTTACGTGCCGTGCTATTAAAATCAACCTTGAGCAGATTATACAACACTTTCGTCTCATTCTGATCGCTCTCCCTCTCTCTCCTTCTCAGGTTATGTGTTCTGCATGTTGCACCGGTTGCCGGAGCAACACGACTGTATGTTTGACCATCTGGGCCGCGGCCGAGAGGAAGCCGTGCTGAAGATGGTGAAACTGGACCGCAAGGTGGGCAGAACCTGCCAGCGCATCGGAGAGGAGTGCTCTTGAACGCCCCCCCTACACACACACACACTCGCTCGCAAACACACACACACACGTATCCACCGACCACACGACTCACTCACCTGTTAGTGGCATCTTTTTTCCTCCAACACATCTCAGAGGACCTACACCCCTGCTTGACTTCTGACCTCTGACCCCTCTCAGTAGCCTCGTGCTCATCTCACACAGGCGACCCGCACAGCCTTAACTTTCTGTTATCTGTTCCTCCACACACACAAACGCAGGTCAGACGAATTTGCCAGTCTGTACTTTGGAGAACTGCTCTCGTCTCAGAGGCTGCGATCGACTCCAGGGGAAACACATCGATCGATCGAGACCTCTGGGAACTTCTGCTCCGGACATTCCGTTGACAGACACCGGCCGAGGCAAGGGGTGGATGACTTGGATCGCACGAGTCACCCCGTCCCGGGACAAAACGAAAAAAAGGCCGGCTCTGCTGCGGCCCGTGGGCTCGAGCCGCGTCAGAGCTGTGCCCATTTCACTGGCGTACTCACACTCACATATGCACTTAGAGCTGTGTTTTCAAACGCCGCTCGGCACGAGGGCCGAGGCCAAACCAGACGGTACCCTTCGGTTTGGGTTCGGTTGGGAAAGGGCCGCCACAGCTCATCTGAGAACTAGTTCGTTCAGGTCTAAATAAACACACTCTGTAACCTCGTATGACTCCCTTCAGCCCTTGCATTATACACTCTGCCTCTTTTAAAGCAGCTGTGGCTGTGATCTCGGTGGCTTATTTTTTTTTTGCCCTTTTTTCTCGCTTTCTCTCCTTCATTCTCACTAGTTCCTGTACTTTCTCCTGCCTGCTCATGCTAACCTTTCTTTCTATATTCTCTTGATTTGTTCTCTCTCTTTTTCTTTCTTTCTTTCTTTCCTTCCCTCCCTCACTTGCATTATGGAGGGATGGTGTGGGAACGAGGAAGGCGGAATCTCAATTTACCGGCGCTTTTTTGTTTTGTTTAAAACATTTTTTTTTTTTTTATTATTATTACTTTGATTTGTTTTCTGTTGAGATGTCGACATGGACAGAACTGAAGAAAAGAGATGAATATTGTGTATCTTAAGAAAAATCCTTATTTAACAACCTTTGTGTTTCTGGTTAACTCTCACTCTAAGCATAGAGCTGCATTACTTTGCCCTTTTTAGGTTAACATAAAAAAAACATACAAAAAACGAAGATATGGATAAGATAAAATCCTGTAGCCTTTTTTTTTTTCCTTTTTTTTTCCTTTCCTCTTTTGCTGAAAAAGAATAAAACTGGATTAGAGGATGTGTGGTATGCTTTTCTTTTTTTGTTTTTTTTTGTTTACTATATTAAGAGTGTTTTTCATTTACATAAACAGAGTTTGTGCAAAAACATGTAGCTGTAGAATGAAATATGCGAAGAATTCACAAATATACTAATACACTACCAAGTTTGGGGTCAATATAGGTTTTTTTTTAATGTTTTGGAATGAAATTTCTTATGCTCACCAAGGCTGAATTTATTGGATTAAAAAATACAGTAAAGACAATAATATTGTAAAATATTTTTACAATTTAAAATAACCACTTTGTTTTAATGTAATGTAAAATGTAATTTATTCCTGTAATGCAAAACTGAATTTTTCAGCATCATTACATGATCCTTCAGAAATAATTCTAATATGCTGATTTGCTGCTCAAGAAACATTTATCATCATTAATGATGAAAAGAGTTGCAATGCTTAATATTTTTGTGAAAACTAATGATCTTTCTTTAAGGATGTCCTTGTACTGTAATGCATGTCCAAAAAGTAAACAGAGCCCGATTTGCAACGGGGCCGACAACAATTCTCATATTTTTAATGCGGTTAAAAAGAAAAATGTCAACCAGCATAAGCCAAACATGAATTCCTTTGACAAATAGGTTAGCTGCAAAAGCTGGAAGCACAACCGCAGGACAGACAGAAATTAGCGGGCTGGAGGAATGGCTTCATAAATTCCCCTGGATGGAATGAACACCTGTGACCCAGTTTCCACAAAACTTGCATCATGAGCCCCGCAAATATGGGTCTGATGGCGACCATTCATAAAGCGCTGCTGTTTAAGGTCAGTGATGTGTAACCTGTGGTGGAGAAGCTCTGATCCTGGATCCCATGAGCACAGCAGAGGCTACGGTGGGCTGGAAGCGTTAAGAACTCATAATGGCTGTGTCTGAAACCAAAGGCGGCTGTCTTACTGCCAAGGGAGCCAGTGACTTAATAGAGGGGTTTTTCTTTTATTTCAGGCACAGCCAACATTTTGTTGCGTCATACGGTGGTATATAAATGCAACTCTGCATGTTCCATGAATATGCTATATTTTAAAGGGGGCATAACACACACAGTTTCACCCAATCTCATGTTAATCTTGAGTACCTATAGAGTAGTACTGCATCCTTCATATCTCCAAAAAGTCTTTAGTTTGATCATATTTATAAAAGAAAGATACAGCTTTACGATTCTCTCCGGAAAAAAGCCGAGCTCCTGGAGGGGCGCCGTGGGCGGAGCTAAAGAGTGACGAGCACTTGGGCGCCGAATGCCAACAAACAGACATTTGATGCCGTTTCACTTACCGTCTGCAGTTCTGAATCATGGCCGGGATCTTTTATAGCTGGGACCGCTCCATCTTTCAGTATCAAACGATGTGCAAATCCAGCGTCGAACTGGGCCTTGTTTATAAAACGTTCGTCAACAAACACACTTGTGAAACTCCGTTGCTGCCCCGGAAAACAAACTGTATCCACTTTTTACATAACGCAGGGTTCTTTAGGAAGCTGAACAAAGTTATCTTTCCCTTACAACCAAATACTCCCGCATTCTTCCGGGATAAATGCCCATATAAGGAGTTCCACCCTCGTTTACGTCATTAAGAGCCATGATCGAAAAAAACTCCGAAATTTGTACGAACCCGGAAGTAAGATTTTTGGCACAGAAATACTCTGTCATACGTCCAAATTGTTTTTTGAAACTTTGTCCATGCTTAGCATGAGAATCCAACTCTTTAACAGTGTAAACAACTCTGAATGCATGAAACAGCATTGTACCCCCCCTTTAATGTGTTCTGACTTTTTTATTATGAGACGTATTAGATGGAGTGAATTTAGATAAATTGGGGGAAATTTTATCATTGACCTGACTTGGATAAATGTCTTAATTATACTGAATTCACCCTATGTTTGATAAACCGTTACCTCACAAATTAAATTCACCTACAACATGAAAAGCATCTATTTTTAAGTGCATTAAATATCTGTATACCCTTTTCAACTGTATATAATGAAATGAATGCAATGTCAGTGTGTGTTAATATGATTGTAAAAAGCAACATTTCTTTTTTATTCACTAATTCATTTTTTAAATGACAAAATAACACATAACAGGGGTTTTAAACTATTTGAGACATATTTACCTGCATTTTGGTGACAGGCCTGCAAACCGCAAAATTATATATATATATATATATATTAAAATAAAACCCAAATCATTCTAATATGCTGATATCATTCTAGGCTGACTTGGTGCCCCTTATTATCAATTATCCAGTTATTATTGATGCTTTAATTAATAATTTATTCAATTAATAATCTTGTTATCAACGTTTCAACATTAATAATAATTAATAAATAAACAAATTTTTTAGCAGGAAATCAGCATATTAGAATGATTTCTGACACTGAAGACTGGAGTAATGATGCTGAAAATTCAGCTTTGCATAACAGGAATAAATTATATTTTAAAATATATTCAAATAGAAAACGTTTATTTTAAATTGCAATAATACATCACAATATTCCTGTATTTTTTGATAAAAAAAGCAGACATTATAATATGTTGTGTGTTTATGGAAAGTGGCAAGCAGTTGTCAGTTGTGTTGTGATGGATGTAAGGTAAGCGGATGATGAGTGTTCAATCTTCTCAGACATCAGTCTCACAGCTCTGTGTCAGCAAAGACAGGGAGCTCTAATCAAATAGCACCTTCAGATGCAGCGCGGCCAGCCGGTGTGCTGAGACTCAAACAGGGCCACTGCAGCACTGGCAGCCACTCCAAAGGCAGATGGGCAGATCAATCAAATAAATGGAGACAAAATATTCCTCATAAACAGACTTTTGATAAATATGTGGCATACCTTGCCGATTCATTAAAACGAAGGCACTGCATATGGTGCAGAGTTCAGCATTTACTGAACGAATAAAGATGGAGCTTGTACTCAGTGTGATCAGGTCATTTCATGTGTTCTATATATGTATATGAGTGAATTTGAAAATTTTGCACATTTATTTTGTACTGTATTACAGTTTAACATGGAAAAACAAGCAATTTTTTAATTTATTTATTTTTACTAAAATTTATTTAAATCCTGTTCCTTTATTTTTACATTCTTAAACTTTTAACTAAAACCAGCCACTTCCTTAATGACATCATCCAGGAAGTGACATCACTTTGGAGGGAAATGATGAAATCAACTGCACAAACTTTAGTAAGTATTAGCAGTGGATTTGATGAATGGCTGGCATTTTGTGGTATGTGTTAGTTTGTCTCACATCTTGTTGGGTAAAATTGAAGAAATCATTTTGATCTTCATTTCAGGATGATTAAAACAAAAAAATAAATGATCTTTAAGTTGACACACTCATGTACAACAGCTGTCAATCCCTCACTGAGAAACTTTAGTTCTTCCTATCCAGTTCATTTTCTTGCCTTACTTAAATAAGAATGGGAGGTATAAATAAAGGTAATTGCGACCTGTTTAGCTCACAATTCTGACTTTTTCCCCCTCAAGATTTCCAAAGAAAAAAAAATCAGAATTAATAACATAGATACATAAACAAATATCTGCCTCTAAACCTCTCTTTTCTTTATTCAAAGTTGATCTAGACAAGTACATTGAAACTATCCAAAGTTCTGGTAACCCTAAAGCAGTGAAAAGGGCATCTCTATATTCAACCTATATGTCCTCTTAAAAAAAAAAAAAAACACGGTTATTACACTTTTACTTGAATAAAACCATGGGTAAATTTGTATTTGTAAATTCTTTCTTTCTTTCTCTGTTTTGTTTTTATAACTGTACTGCCTTAATGGTTTGATGTTTTGTACGGTTTAATAAAAAAATCTGATTAAAAAAAGATTCCCCAGAGCCCACTCTGAAGTCCTGAAGTATCATTTCAGAGCGTGGATCTTGAATCATTCAGTTCGCGAAATGATTCGCGAACCCACTCCGAAGTTCCAATCTGAATCAAAAGATTCATGAACCCGCTCCAAATTTCGATCTAAATCAAATCATTCGACCCACGCTCTGTAGTCATGGTTTTAACAATGATTTGTGAACCATTGTTTCAGATCGAGACTTCGGAGCATGATTTGTGAATCATTCAATTCACGAAATGATTTGTGAATGTGAATACACTCCAAAGTTCCGAATGAAATCAAATGATTCGCAAACCCGCTCCGAAGTTCTGATCTAAGTTCATGATTTTTGTAATGATTCACGAACCATCATTTCAGATCGTGACTTCGGAGCGAGAATCATTCAATTCGCGAAATGATTTGCGAACCCACTCCGAAGTTCCGATCTGAATCAAATGGGGAAGTCGTGGCCTAATGGTTAGAGAGTCGGACTCGTAACCCAAAGGTTGCGGGTTCGAGTCTCGTACCGGCAGGGATTGTAGGTGGGGGGGAGTGAATGTACAGTGCTCTCTCCCACCTTCAATACCATGACTGAGGTGCCCTTGAGCAAGGCACCGAACCCCCAACTGCTCCCCGGGCGCCGCAGCAAAAATGGCTGCCCACTGCTCCGGGTGTGTGTTCACAGTGTGTGTGTGCTCACTGCTGTGTGTGTGCACCTTGGATGGGATAAATGCAGAGCACTAATTCTGAGTATGGGTCACCATACTTGGCCACGTCACA